GGAGATCAATCATGTACTCTGTGGAAACTATGTGTCTGCCACCTCCTGAATGAGACTGTGAAGCAATATCATGGGCAACAGTTCTGCCAACTGCAGCCTATGTGTGGGGAAGACTGGCAACCTCCACTCCAGCACATTCTTTAAGGTTTTCTTCATGTATACTAATATGCATAAAATCATACAAAAGACAAACAGAAAAGAAACATACTTTCAACTCAAATCACAAGACATAATCCATATTAATAGGCTACAACACAAAAGACAGTATGAAGACTATAGAAAAGGAATATATTACATCTTTAGAGAGCTAACAGAAAAGGAAATATAATGATTTAGACATACTAGGGGAACATGATTTTGTTCAAAAGTCAAGAATTACTAATTACAACTTTACTGCAACCAAACTTTTAAAAAAGTAATTCATTCTTATTTTATGTGTGATAGTGTTTTGCCCACATGTATGCCTGTGAAAGGGTGTCAGATCCCTGGATCTAGAGTTAGCTGTGAGGTGCCATGTCAGTGCTGGGAGTTGAATCCTGGTCCTTTGGAAGAGCAGCCCATGCTCTTAACCACTGGGCCATCTCTCCAGCCCACAAAGCCACTGTTGGTTACTAGTATTTAAGAAATGTATTATTGAGACCTGAGAGATGGATCAGCGGTTAAGGGACTGTTCTTCCAGAGGTCCTGAGTTCAATTCCCACAACCACAGCAACCACAGGGTGGCTCATATCCATCTGCAATGGGATCTGATGACCCCTTCTGGTATGTCTGAAGACAGCTACAGTGTTCTCATATACATAAAATAAATAAATAATTCTTTTTTAAAAAGAAATGTATTGTTTGGTTTTTAGTGAGAAAGGAGTTTCTTTTCTTTTCTTTTTTGGTTTTTCGAGACAGGGTTTTTCTGTATAGCCCCGGCTGTCCTGGAACTCACTCTGTAGACCAGGCTGGCCTCGAACTCAGAAATCTGCCTGCCTCTGCCTCCCAAGTGCTGGGATTAAAGGTGTGCGCCACCACTGCCCGGCGAGAAAGGAGTTTCATACAATGAAATATCATTAAACCTTTATGGAAGCAATTTGGAGAGAGAGAGAGAGAGAGAGAGAGAGAGAGAGAGAGAGAGAGAGAG